TTTTTTTTTTTTCATATTTTTCTGCATTTTCTGTCCAGGTTTTTTACTTCGCCATGACGTGTTGGGCAGTTTGTGCTTGAGAATTTGAGGCAAATAGACAGGTAGAGTGTCAGACTTACAGCAGATCCGGGGCCGGCTCAAGGTTGTGAGACCCGAAGCAGAATTTCATTTTAAGTCCATTGCCCACTCACCACATCTCCGAGCGGTTCCACCATCTCGCTGTTAAATGGAAACTGGGGATGCAGGATAGTGAGGGTCAAACTCTTAGTTTCTGTAACTTTACTGGTGATATCACATTAGTCTTTGTCACTGTTTCCCATTGTACTTATTCCCATTGTGTGTTCATCCAGTCCCTGCTTGTGCACTCTTTGCCCACCCAACAGGAGCCTTTGCAGCTTTTCTTCATCCCATCTCTCTCCTCGCTTTCTAAGAGGAAGCATTGCCTGCTATTACAGCACACACACACACATGCACACACACTTTTCTCAGGATTTGTGTTGGTCATTTCCTGCCAGACGCAAGAAGTAAGGCATTTTTTATTCATGGCACAACACAACTGATGCAGATGGGACTACAACAGGTGTGTGTGTGACATGTTTTTTATTTTCTTTGTATATTAGAATACATCACAGTGGATGTCTCTTTTGCCATTATTCGACCTTGTCAAATCACTTTTTATTGTCTATTTGTTGGTCTCTGTCACTGTTTCCCCTCTAACGTCAGCCTCGCTCATGAGTCCTATCATAAATAGAGTCCAGTTGACATTTCAATTTGCTTCATAACACTGCACACACACACACATACGCACACAAACGCCAAGTTCATTGTCAAGCATCAATTCAATAGCAACTCGCTCTTGGGTTTCCACGGAGACAGGAAAAAGCAATAACTGCACACTTGACCTCTCTCTGTGTGTTATTGGCCTCTTCTCACCTTCACACACACACTCACACACCTCAAATCTAATCTGGGAGCATGAACCGCCACGGTGACAGTGATATTCCTCCGGTTTTCCCCATCGAGGATCGGAGGGGTGAAGAGGGGAGAGGAGTGGGGGGAAGTTAATAATTTCATTTTGCAACAAGGTGGAGATGATGTGAGGCTCTGTCATCTCACAAAGACACGAGCAGGAAGCTGAAAATACGTCAAAAAGGAGAAAGGGTTGTAAGCTCAATCATCCAGGTAGATGACAACAAAAAAGGTTAAATCGTCATCTGGACCAGTTTCTTTAAGTGAGAAAAGTTTCCCCCCCCCCCCCCCCCCAATCCAGAGGACTTTATCAGTCTATGGCCTGCAAACCAGATCTGTCCCATAAGTAGCCTTCATTGCTGTGTTTCAAGCCAACTTCCTGTTGGAGGCCTTGCAACTTTAACTTGCTACTTGCTACTTGCTGCAACTTGCAGCAAGTTGGCCATCCGGCCTAAAACATTTAGGTCACTACATTTAACATAAAAAGCCTATTTCTGAGATTCCAACAGGAGGTTGCCTTGAAACACAGCAATGAAGGCTAACTATGGGACTGTTAGTATGAGCGCCGCAGTATGGCCGCACTGATGGGAGCTCCGCTTCGACCCAATCTTTTTTGTTCCTGTTGTTCTTGTTTTAACTTTTTTTGTGCCTACGCTGCACACCCACACTACGGGTATGAACGTGACACACTTGTGGAGTTTTGTGTGTCACTGCCTTGCTATCATGACGTCCTGCCATCATGGTTCCATTCCCAGCCCCACTACAGCCTCACAGGCTCTGGCCTGTCATGGTGGACGTCTCCATGATCCTCCGTCTGCCTGCACGAACCAAACTCTACAGACCTCTTGGGGAAAACCTTGGATGTTCTCTGTCTGCTGGACCCAGCTCTGGTGGGTAGTCTGGCAGGGCAGCTGCTGCGGTCCTTGTTATCATCAATCTGCTAGCGGGGCCTGCTATTGCTGCTAACAGGATCCTCCATCTGCCTGCACAGATCGAACTCTACGGACCGTTTGATTCTGTGGGGAAACCTGAGATGTTCTCTGTCTGCAGGACCTGGTTCTGGACTGCGGTCTGTGAGGGCAGCTGCTGCGGTCCTTATTACCATCAAGCTGCTGACCGGACCTGCTAACGTTGCTAACAAGACCAACCCGCTAACAGAACAGAACCATACTGCTGAAAGAACCTCACTGCTAACCGAACCACACTGTAGATACATTTCTTTTTCAACTTGGCACCTTGTTTTAGTATTTTAGTAGTATTTTAGTATGTTTTTAGTATTTTTGCTGCATGCTTTGGTATTTCTTGTTGTTATTGTTTTTGGCGAGCCGAGACGGTTTTTCTCATCCTGAGCATTTCATTGCATTGTTTGTGTTGATTTTGCATATGACAAATAAACCTAACCTGAACCTGAACAGATCTGCAACTAGATCTGGTTGGCAGGCTGCAGACTGACGAAGTCCTCCGGATAGGGGATGAAACATTTCTCACTTAAAGAAACTGGTCCAGATGACATGATTTAACCGTTTTTGTTGTTTACATCAAGAAGGAATTCCACGGAGAATGTCCAATTTCTGCCACCTTGCAAAGTTTTCAACAAAAGTCTCATATTAGCACTCAAAGTGTGGGATGGGGATGAGTCCCAACTAAAACACATTTTAACTCGATAACTGTGATATTGACTGACTTATTGTCATATTTGTGTTTGCTAAAGCGAATAGCTGTGGTTGCCATCTTGAATCAAGTTGACCTCAATAGTTCACAGGATCACCTCCCGTAGACGATGTGCGTCTGAAATAGAGTTGAAGATGAATATTGGCTTTTGTATTAAAAAAGGAGCCGAATGGAGGAACGTATTAGGAAAACCAAGAGGCGAGTCTCAGCCATGAGGCTGTTTACTGTTTATTCTGGTCTCCAGTCTCATTTCTCATCATATTGGCAGAATCGAGATGATTTATTTTCTTTGTTTATTCCTGTGAGGATTTCTGTTGGTGCATATTTGTGTCAAAGTTTGTCTGTTTGCTCGTGTCTCTCTGTTTGATCATCCTGTGTTTTATTCATATTAGTTCGCTTGTCTGACCTCAATCTTTCTATGATCATCAGTTGTTTTGGTGTCCTCAGTTAATACCGGGGTCCCACTGTGGGATTTCCCCTTTTTCTTTATTGAATATGCAAATGGTTCTTGAGATGAATATGTGAATTCATGAGAATGCATTAGAAGTGAATGTCAAATGAGAAGCAAGTGAATCATGAATTTTGCACAAATAAAATTTACTGTACAGTTCTTATAACTTCTCCAATTAATTTCTTACATGTTATTTTCCTATTGGCCTATTTTGCCTTTATTCCCTACCAGTGATTGTCAACTGATGGCTCCTGTGCTATATCAGGCCCAAAACCTGGTGATATTCGGCCCGCAGAGTATTTTGATTGGTCCAACGTATAAATTAGCTCCCAATTCAGAAAGGTAAAGGGGTTAAGGAGGTTATTCTGTTGTACTTTAACAAAAGCATATTTAACAACCCTTAGAGAAGTTGTAAAGAAAAGCATTTGTACTTTACCGCAACTACATTTGGAGCTACCATGAGCTCGTTGTAGCAGCTGCTGCTACATTTTAATTCCTGTCTGTTAACTGGTGAAAGGCTGACGGGCATAGTTAACTCTAAATTTCCTAAAAGTAGCATCAGCCAAAAAATAAAAATGTTGGCCGTGAAAATAAAACGAACCCTGTTTTCAACAATACACTGCTTTTGTACTTCCTTTTGGGACCATGTTGTTTCACTCAATGCTCATGTTAGTTATTTATGTAGTTCACGTTATCTTTTTGATTTATTTCAGCATTTATCGTAATTATTTGCGTTTTTATTTCCTGTTTAACATTTATATACAGCTGTTCCCTGTCAAAATCGCAACTAAACCTTGAAAAATTGAACGTTTGTTTGAAAAATACCAAAGTAGGCTATAAACCATTTATTTATGACAACATTTGTTGAAATAAATAGAAGAGACTGGCTGTTATCCCCAAAAGCTTGATTAATCAAAGGCTGGTCCTCGCAGTTTCTGCTTAGAAGTTCTGACCTTTGAGCACATTTGGTTCAAAGATCTCCTCTCCCGTCATACACACATGAACACACACATACTAGTACATAGGGGCTCGGTATACAGTAATTGAGGCTCATCCTATGTAGACTGGAGAAGCTGCAGATCAAACCACCGACCCTTCAATTAGCGGACGACCCCGCTCTGCCTCCTGATCCCCAACCCACTCGCCCAAGTTAAGAAAAATCATCTAATGAGCTGAACCTTCAGTTATTGTATCAGACTCACACAGCTGAACAGAGTTTACTCTAAGATTTATCTCGTGTTGCCATAATTAATGGATATGTTTTACACCACTATTTATTATTATATATAGATACTATACATGCATTGAACCGATCATTTGTGACAATGACGTGTATTGGGTGCATTTGTGTGTGTGTGTGTGTGTGTGTGTTTGACATTGTTAAACCATTCTCAGTGCACATTTAAGGGCTAAAATTAGGTCTCCGCAGTGCGCAAACACTGTTTAGACTTGCTCATGCAGATTTCTTTGTCTTGGGTCAGGGTTCATTACAGGGTCAGGGTACTATATACTGTAAACACCTATGTGTTTGTATGACACTTATATTTGTCAATAATGCTTCTTTCTTTAACTCATTTTCATGCAAATAAGCAATTTGAGCCATGTCTGATGATGCTAAGTTCACCTTGCCTGAAGCCATGTTCTGTTTTGTTCTTTTATGTGGTTCGGTGCAGTTCTCCAAAGAGAAATACTTGCTGGAGTCTCCTCCTGAGAAACTTCGTAAAGAACTGGAGGAGGAGCTGAAACTGAGTCCAGCTGACATCAGGAGCCATGGCTGGTACCATGGACACATACCCCAAGAGGTATGAGCAACTTTCTCATTCTCAAATTGCAGTCAGTTCATATAGAGCTATATACAGTTGGAACAAGTCATTCTAAGATATTTTAATTTGTTTCAGAAGTCATGAGTACAAAGAAAAACACTACAAACTGTTATGTTATAGATCAAGATTTATTCTGGTCCCCTTAGGGGCCAATGGGTACAAACACTTGGTCCTTCCCCTCTCCCCAGCTTCATCATGCTCTGCTTTGCTGAATTTTTATTTAATTTCTGCAGCAGTCAAGATAGTTTTGTTCACCAAACTTTATCAGCCAATGAAATGTACTGCGGTATTTTCATTTTATTTTACCCCTGAACTCTAAGCATGTTTTTTCCTTCTTTACGTAGAGTTACTTGAAGTTTTCATAACTTTTGACCTTTTCAAAACTCTAAAACATGTTAATTCAAGCGTCTGGAACCACAAAGTCCTCATGATACTCCCAAAAATTCATTTACAGTTACAAAGTAGTTATTTCCACCAGAAGTGGAGAGCAAGTTAAATGCGTTACATGTAAAGTATTTACAATTTGTACGCACTCTGCTTGAAAACGGCAAACTTTTGTGCGCTTTACACTTTAACTTCACTGCAATTGTTTGACACCTTAAGTTAATAGTAACTTTTAAAATGAAGATTCTGCACAAAACAGCATCAAAAGTGGTTTTAGAATCTAAAACATTGGATCTCGACACAAATTAGGTCCTTTGTAAAGTAAGAGCATTACTAATTATCCCAAACATAAAAATAAACCAAAGAGGAAATAATGAATTGTACTAAGTTTACAATAATGGACTTACAAGAATTCAGCTGAACATTTGTTGCAATCACACTTCTTGTCTTGGTAAACTGTTGTGCATCCATCCATCCATCCATTATCTTCCACTTGTTCCGAAGTCGGGTCTCGGGGGCAGCAGCTTGAGCAGGGAGGCCCAGCCATCTTTTTCCAGAGCCACCTCTTCTGGAAGGACTCCAAGGTGTTCCAGGGCCAACCAAGAGATGCAGTCTCTCCAGCGTGTCCTGGGTCTTCACTGGTGTCTCCTCCCAGTCGGACATGCCCGAAACACCTCCCTAGGGAGCTGCCCAGGGAGCATCCTTACCAGATGCCCGAACCACCTCAACTGGCTCCTTTCGATGTAGAGGAGCAACGGTTCTACTCCGAGTCTCTCCTGGATAACTGAACTCCTCATCCTATCTCTAAGGGAGAGTCCAGCTACCCTGCTGAAGAAACTCATTTCAACCGCCTGTATCCGTGATCTCATTCTTTTGGTCACTACCCAGAGCTCATGACCATAGGTGAGGGTAGGAACATAGACCAGTCAGTAAACAGAGAGCTTTGCCTTACAGCTCATCTCCGTCTTCACCACAACGGACCAGTACAGAGTCTGCAATACTGCAGATGCTGCACCAATCCTCAATCTCATGCTCCATTCTTCCCTCACTCATGATCAAAACCCCAAGATACTTGAACTCCTCCACTTGAGGCAGAACCTCGACCTGAAGAGATCAATCCACCCTTTTCTTGCCGAGTACCGTGTCCTCAGATTTGGAGGTGCTGATTCTCATCCCAGCCGCTTCACACTCGGCTGCGAACCGCTCCAGTGAGAGGTGAAGATCACGGCACGATGACGCCAACAAGACCGCATCATCTGCAAAGAGCAGAGATGGAATCCTGAGGCCACCGAACCGGAATCCCTCTGACCCCTGGCTGCACCGAGAAATTCTGTCCATAAAAGTTATGAACAGAATCAGTGACAACGGGCATCCCTGGTGTCCAACTTCCACCCTGAAGGGGTCTGACTTATTACCGGCGATGCGAATCAAACCCTCACACCACTTGTATAGGGACCATTGTGCAGACTTAAAGAAAAAACCAGTAAAAGGCAGAAATCAAAGAGATAAACTCGTCAGCCAGCAGTATTTGAGAGTGATCACTTTGACAAAATATCTGGCTTTGAAAGCTCCGCGTCGATGGTTTGCTCACAGAATGACACTGATTAATGATTCCCATCATCTGCCACAGCTCTGTAGCAATCGCTTTAGCGCTCAGGACGAGGGAAACTCTGCCAAACCGACAGCTGCGCATGTTGCCCATGTACGCAGTTGAATTTCACAGCTGGTACTGAAATACACACGTGCACACATGCAGGATGCATGCACATGTGGAGGGTACTTCCTCTGTTTCTTGTTGAAACACACATAAACACAGACAGATTCAAATCAGCCATCTGCGAGTCTTTGTCATTTACATAAAATATTTATATATTCATGGTTTAGCCCCGGTGTAAACTGAGGGGTAAACCCCAGATTGTCCCTTTACCAAAACAGTACTTAGTGACTTTATCTCTCAAGCACCCGTGAAGGTTTGTTCAGTTCCTTATTATTGTTTTGTTTAAAGATTTTGGATATGCGTTATTAGTGCATGTGACATCTCTTATTGTTTAAAAAGTTTACAAAGCTTTCACCCACACTGTCCTTTGAGGGATGCATTTAAAAGTCAGTTCTCCTCAAGAGGGTTGATGTTTGAGTCTGGCAGAGATAAGAGGCCCCCCGCACGAGCTTTGAGCCTTTGATCCGAGTCAAATGCTGCCTCCTGCTGGTCCCTTCTCCTCCGGATGTGCATATTTCATGCTTCCTTCAAAGGATCATAACCTTTGCATCATCCGATTTCACCATCCTTACGAGTTGTTTTGAAACAAATTGCGCTCGGTCTGAGTTTAGTCTCTGTTTTACAACACGCCCGCTCGATCAATGGTTGTGATCCGGTCTCAGAAAGCACATTAACAAGCCGACACAGCTATCTGCGAAACAGCCTGGAGCTGCTAGGCCGGCCATGAGTAGAGCATTACTTTTCCTGATTGCCTCTCCGGTCAATAAATTTAGAATTTGTCTCGTTCTTACAGTAGCGCTGAACTCAATAAAATGGATCATCAATGGAAGTAATTCTGTGTGTTGTCATATTTTATCTATCCGTGCCTGACTGAGCTGTGCAGAACAAAAACAGTTTAATAACCGGAGAGCGGGTGTTTATTCAGCAACACAAACAGGCCTCTGGGCCTCTGACGCATTTCTTTTTATAAATACAATAAATCTGTTTTTATCGATTTATTTTATTCTGATGTTTTATCTCAGAAGAGAATTTTTAATTTAGGGGCTCCAAATGAACAGCTGACGCTGACTTTCCTATTTTTCTCATCCTGTTTGCATCATTTAGGTGTCGGAGACTCTGGTTTTGCGTAACGGAGATTTCCTCGTGCACGACTCCCTGACCAGTGTGGGCGACTATGTCCTGACCTGCCGATGGGACAACGAAGTGCTTCACTTCAAGATCAGCAAAGTTCTGGTCAAATCCAGCGAGACTAAGGTACAAATTCATTTGTCCAACACCTGTGAAACACTTGTTTTACCCTGTGGAACTTCATAAATGTTCCTGTAAAGAAGAAAAAAAAGAATATATATATGTGTGTGTGTGTGTGTGTGTGTGTGTGTGTGTGTGTGTGTGTGTGTGTGTGTGTGTGTGTATTGCTTTTAAGCAATAAGTGCTACCATTACCATTATGTCATTAACTATTTAGGGTCAGTTGTGACTGTCTGTTAGCAGCATGTCTCATGAATCAATGGGTGTATTTTAATTAAATTGTCAACAAATAATCATTAGATGTTCATCTGTATTTGTTGATTTTTTGAAGCCAATCCACTTCAAAATTGCAACCACAGCCACCTGATCTTAGATAACACGTAAATGGTTATAATTCAGTCAATTTTACAAACATTGCGCTAAAATTTGTTGCAATTGTAGCTCAAAGTTATTTGCAATTCATTCTCCAAGTGGTATGCACTGTGCAAGATCTTTTCCTCATGTTTTTAGGGTAATACATTGTCGGACTCCACCCAGAATGTCTGTTAGCAAGATACCTCAAGCCCCTTGGCATGAATTTTAATTAAACTTTTAGAAAGTATTGATTAGATGCAACTGTTAAACTACTGGTTTCAAATTAATTTAAGATGGTTGCCACAGTCAGTCGTCATTGACCCACACAATGATGGCTTTAACTTGTTCAGTTTCACCGATAATCAGCTAAAATTTGATGTGATAGTAGCTGAGATTCATTTACAACACACAGTCTGAGCGTGATGTTGCATTATATCGCATATAACTCATAACGTTGTTTGCAAGATTTGGTGAAAACAGCTAAAACTCCATTGCTTCTGAATATAAGCTGATTCTAGTTTAAAACTCTGACATGAAAGACAGCGGGTCAATATGCATTCATTCAACGAGTTAAAGCTCAAACAAATCATCCAACATGTGCTTGAGTTGCTCTTGAAGAAAAGTGCAGGTGTGCCTAATAACATTAACGTCTTTGTTCCGTTTCGATATCTGAGTGAAGTTTCCTGGAGACGTGAATGTGCACAAAATCTGATCATCAGTCATTAGTAACATGTGTGTTCAACCTGTCAAAGTGTGCACTAAGCTAGTCTCAAACCTGCAAAGTTGAGCTATTTTCATTTTAAATTTAAGAGTGTTTACAACAAAATCTTACTATGACTGTTGGTTACATTTCGTTTGGCCAAATTTAGCAAAATCCAGATTTTTGCTTCATATTTAGCATCTTTTTGATTTGCCAGACATGAGATCATCTATTCATTTTCTTTACTGGTGCCTACCTCTAGGGGTCACTGAGCTAGAGCCGGGGTACACCCTGGACAAGTTGCAAGTCCATCCAGGGCCATATAGAAATGAAACAATGACACGACTGCCATCAACACTTCCTCGCGTGTCCAAGCTGCCGTACAACAAAAAGCATCTTTCCATCCTTGTCTAACAGGTGCAGTATGTGTTGGAGTCGGATAGCTTCGACTCACTCCAGGAGCTCGTTCGTTTCTACGTGGGTCAACGCAAAGCAGTCTCCCAGTCCAGCGGCGCCCACATCTACTGTCCCGTCAGCCGGACTCTCCCGCTGCGCTACCTGGAGGCGACGTTCGCCCTCGCCAACAAGCATGGCTCAGCGTATTCGCCGTCCAATCAGAGGGGAGCGTACATCAAAAGGCGGAGCGTCACCATGACCGATGGACTCACAACTGAAAAAATGATACCTCACAGGTGAGGCGGAGAGAAACGACTCCTTCACTAGAGTTGAAGCATCATTCATGTGTTGTTTTTTTCCAGACGCCATGAAATTTAGACAATTCATTTTGCTTCATTTTGTCACATACACAATTAGCGACTCAGACAGTCCCAGTCCAGTTGAGACACCAGTGGCACCGCCAGAACCAGAGCCGGAACCTGCGTCCAAATGCAGGTTGTGTTCCTGTGTGTGACACTAGTGTTGTCCTTGTGGCCTTAAAGATGGTGCACTCCCCTTCCACTCTCCTAAAAGCCCCTCAGCTCACAGACACCACCGCCTCCCTTTGTGACTCGCGTCAGTACGACAGAATTCCTCACTTCTGCACTGAATCAAACAAGTTTAAAGGAACAATTTGCTGTTTTAAACTTGGAGAAGGAGCAGGCAAATATGTTACAAGCAGTGATATAGAGATGGGCCCACAGGAGGCCCAGGAAGAACAAAATCAGTTCTAACACAGGGAGAGGTATAACTTCTTTTTAACTGGGTTCCTATAATGTTTTGAAGAATCTTAAGCATTCCCACTGCATGGCGCATGTCTGCTTCTGCTCCTAAACATTGTTTTAGTGTAGAAATAACACAAACAGGATACATTTTACAGTCACGCCTTCTAATACGTCTCCCTTTTTTCTCGCACTGAAGTAATTAGCAGGCAGTGATGATGATGTCGTGCAAATCTCTGCTTTTTAAAATCCCTAAATTGCTGTTTGCAGCCCGTCGACGATCCACCACCATAAAGACGCAATGCGCAATTGTGCGATGAGCATGGACCAGATTCAGGAGTACCGCTGCCCCTTGTCGCCTGTCAGGGAAACCCCTCTGTCTCCTGCTTATAGCGCCAGTAAGTACCAGACAGACTCAGACACATAAATAATACATTCTCACGTTCATGCACTCCTCAGAGTGTTGAAGGCTCCTCTCTCTTCTTCAGTCACCAGGCAGAGAGCCCACTCAGGCGGGCGTGTCCTGGCCGTCGTCCCTCCCTCTCCTGTGATGCGCCGCTCCAGCGACCCCCAGCTCAGCCCCTCAGATGGTCTCGTTCCTGCAGAGTATCCCGCGCAGACCTGTCACTCAGCGCACTCTTCGCCCGCCCATCATTCAAGCTGCCAATCGCACTCGTCGGAGACAGCAGGGAGCTACTGTGACCTCAGACCCTGCCCATCCGGGCCCCCCAAACCCCCGGCCAAGAGCTACGTAGAGAGACTGCTAGTGGAAGAAGGGAGGAAGGTGGAAGCAAAGGAAGAAGGGGAGGGGACGTTCACCGCCCCGCAGGTGGAGACAGCCTCTTTGTTCAGACCATCCAGGTATGAAATAAACAGAGGAGATTTTTCTTAATGAAAAAATACACAAAATCTGAATTACAGACTAAGTTACGCTGTGGTTGTTATTAGGGTTACACGATATTGGATTTTTGGCCGATATTCAATATCCATCCATCCATCCATCCATTATCTTTACCCGCTTATTCCATTTTGGGTCACGGGGGTCACTGGTGCCCATGTCCAGCAATCACTGTGCGAGGGGCGGGGTACACCCTGGACAGGTCGCAAGTCCATCACAGGACCACATAGAGACAAACGAGACAAACAACCATTCACTCTCTCACTCACACCTAGGGACAATTTAGAGTTACCAATCAGCCTAACATGCATGTTTTTGGTCTGTGGGAGGAAACCGGAGTACCCGGAGAAAACCCACGCATGCACGGAGAGAACATGCAAACTCCACCCAGAAGGCACCTGGACCGGGGTTTGAACCAGGGACCTGTTCGCTGAGAGGCAGCAGCTCTACCAGTTGCGCCACCGTGCTGCCCGATATTCAATATATTAAAACTTATTTTGCCGATACCAATACTGAAATTTTTCCCGTAGACCTACTTACAGAGTCTACATAGCTTTCTCTGCTGTGGAATTAAAACACTACATTAATCTGCATGGTCTTTGTCAATTTGGCCTGTTACCAAACACAGATACCCAAAAGGGGGCTGAAAATGATGTAACACTTCAACTTGGATTATGTTTAATTTCAACTTTATTCATGACATTCACTCTCTCTAACACAATGACAACACTCGAACAGTGCAAAATTTGTAAATTTTCACAAATTCAAACTCAACGGCGCGTGATCTTATAATGTGCTGGCGCTTCAGGCATCCTTGTCATTGGGTTATCATTACAAAAACAACGCCTTTTATATCGGTGAGTTATTTTGATGGAATAGTTGATGTCCGATATTTAACTTTATCGCTAATATCGGCCGATACCGATATCATACCGATAATATCGTGCATCCCTAGTTATTGTTCTCAAATTGGTGTAAACAAGAAGATGAGGCTGTGGAATATAGCCACACAATTGTCTCTGTTGTCATGAACTGCTAAATAATTTATGATACATCGTAAACAAAATCGTACTCCCTCCCACTGAAATGAGGACCAAGGAGTCAACAATCTGAAAGATAAAATGAGGTTTACACATTCTCCGTCCTCCAAGGTTAATTCAGGCCAAGTTACAGCAAGAGTGACCCAGAAAGAGCTATTATGAAAAAGGAATTAGTGATTTGGAATCAGATTTTAAAGGAGATGTGAGTCGTGCACAATACACAATATATTAAACTAGGTTGAAATAGATTTGCAGCTTACCGTCCTCAAGTTTCCAACTCTTGCAACACTTTCGCCCTCGATCAATCTGAAATTCTGTCATCCAGGGCAGAGATGTAAAGAAAGCAGTTTGATACTACAGATCTCAGTGGAAGACAGGCTTGAGGCAAACGTTTGACAAGACGTGTTATATTTTATTAGGAACGGGATGAAACGTCGTTTTGGCTTTACAAGAAATGTTGTATTCGGTTATAAAAGAGCTTTCCTTGAAGGAATGCTGCTGATCTGCATGCCAAAGTTTTAAACAAAGATCTTTTGCAATCTGTTGGTGCTCGAAGCATGCGCTGTAAATGACTCTTCACTACCGCCACATCAAATGTTAGCTCAATATCTGTAAAATTTTATGAATTAAACATAATTTAAGCAGAAATTACCCCGTGGAGTGCATTTGTACCGTTTAGGTTGTGCTTTCTATAACTTTATCACAACTTTGTACATAGATTGTGTTCACAAATAGGCAAGACTTCTCCTGAACACTGACTCCTCACATCAGGTTTTTACCACTTTTATATTTAAAACTTACAATTTTACCACTTAATATTGTTTGTACAGAGACACTAAATGTCCCTTACAAATAATATGCAATAATTTTTTATTTTGTACTATACATTAAAAACTATTATAAGATGTTTTTTTCTTCTTTCTGCTCCCTTTTCATTCAATGTTTTTTTCTATTTGATGAATTTGTTTTGTTTGTTTTAAATGAATGAATAAACTAGTTTATGCTGTCTAGTTTTTCAAGAGTTAAGACAAAAAAA